AACACTTCAAAATGAGACTTAGGCAAAAATCAAGGCAATCCCGATGGATCTGACAAGCAAAGTCAGTCCATGCAAAAGTTAGGGATCAAAACCAAAACAAAAAAGAGGTCCTCAAACCCTCAACAAAAACAAAATAAGATTCAGTGGCCACCCAAATCAAGGGGTTACTGACATCCCTCAAAATAAGATGGCTGCCATTTCAAGCAAACTTTGAACCATCAAGTTTACATCGTCAAGTAGGTGCAAAATTAATTGAACGTAGGTATGGAGATCATTACGAAGAAGGGGTGGGTACAAATAATACTTTGAGCCTAATATCCTTTATTTCTATAACCGTGAACCAGACCACGTTACAACCCTCGAAAGACCTAATTGAGGCGAGGTTTATTCTGAAAGCATACTACAGCAAGGTTGCGTAAACTGACTCCTACATATTTGCTAATCTTCTGTATTGGTGTCATATTCTTGCTATATCTTTCACACCAATTAAATCAGCATTGTGTTTGGATTGATGATCCACTCGTCACACATTTTCACATCATTCCCAATAATGGATATTTTCAAAACTTACATGAATGTCGCATTAAAATTACCATTTTTGAATGAACAATTTTAAACTGCAAATCAGTACTTAACATTATAGAAATTCCAACAAAGTGCAATCAAAGAGGAACTTGATCACTCATTGGTGTTGACCTGAATCAAGACTTTCTCATAAGCCTGAGAATCTGGGGCAAGTCCTTTTGAGGTTTAAACTGGGGCAAACCACTTCAAGGTCCAGACACTGAGGCAAAATGGGTTCAAGCCATATCCTGGTATAATCATCGCCAAAGTTCTCATCCCAGAAGAAAATCCTTCAAATACCCCGTAGACTGGGGCAGGCCATTTGAATTGGGGCAGACCATTTGAATTGGGGCAGACCATTTGAACTGGGGCAGATTAGCTGAACAGGGGCAATTTCCCTTCACGCTTTCAAATTTGATCAAGTTGACCACACCAGACACCAGTAATGGTTAGGGTCCATAAACGTCAAAAGCCTTGGGGTAGAGCAAAAGCACGACTAACCCACATTGGTTAAGTCGCTACGCTCACGCAATCCATATGCATTGGTTAAGTTGCTACGCTAGCACGAGTAGCACGCATTGGTTAAGTCGCTACGCTCACGCAATCCATATGCATTGGTTAAGTCGTTACGCTCAGCATTCATATGCCGTCATGATGTACCAGCTAGAAGCGAGGTTCTTATAAGAACAAGAATACCACTTCTGCACAGGATCCAACTTGGAGCACCAAGTGTATCCACATTTGTCTTCTGATTGTGGCGCAGTCATATACCATGTGTCGGGAAATCAAATCCTTTTACCAATAAAAGTCCGATCTCGCTTGGCACGTCCTTAAAGTCCAATCTTTTATTGGCAACTACAAAAAAGCCACTCCAATTGGTACCTTCAATTCACCCTAAAAGTACAGTCTTCATTGGAAACCACTAAAAGTCCACCCCCGTTGGCATTCTCATATAACCAAAGTCCAATCTTATTTGGCAAATACAATAACCAAAGTCCAAACCATCTGAAAACTACCAAATCCAGTCCCTGGTGATACCTCCAACAGGAACTTTTATCCCCAGCATACCATATCATTGCATTATCATAAGCACGACATACGATATCACATCATATCATAGTCATATCGAGCATTAGCATATCATTTGCATTCACATCTTGCACTCCCTAGCAGTTGCATCTTAGTTGCCTGTTTATGTATCATAACGCATATCATCGCTGTCTTCAGCAATATAACATAGCAACATAGCAGGATCCAGGATCAGTTTGTAAACATCTTGGCCAGTTCTCCGGTGAAGTTGGCAGTAGTGAATCTGAAAAGAGTTGTTACTCCGCGAGTTCAGGGAATTCTAATCTCCAGCAAGTCATTTTTCAACCATGCAGTCGATAATGATAGTCCCCGGCGACCGTTGCTCTTATGGCTCCCCAAGCAGAGGTTATCTTAAAAAGTTTCTTGAAGAATTTATCGCTCGAGATACTGCTTTGGTATCATCGAAGAATCTTATTGGATAAGAGGCTGCTTCGACCACCTGAAAAATATCAAGTTATCAGAGATACTGCTTTGGTATCATCGAAGAACCTTATTGGATAAGATGCTGTTTCGACCACCCAAAGAATCTCAAGTGGTGTTCAGAGATACTGCTTTGGTATCATCGAAGAATTTTATTGGATAAGATGCTGCTTCGACCACCCGAAGAATCTCAAGTTGTGTACAGAGATACTGCTTTGGTATCATCGAAGAATCTTATTGGATAAGATGCTGCTTCGACCACCCGAAGAATCTCGAGTTATCAGAGATACTGCTTTGGTATCATCGAAGAATCTTATTGGATAAGAGGTTGCTTCGACCACCCGAAGAATCTCAAGTTATCAGAGATACTGCTTTGGTATCATCGAAGAATCTTATTGGATAAGATGCTGCTTCGACCACCCGAAGAATCTCAAGTTGTGTTCAGAGATACTGCTTTGGTATCATCGAAGAATCTTATTGGATAAGATGCTGCTTCGACCACCCGAAGAATCTCGCGTGTTTAGAGATACTACTTTGGTATCATCGAAGAATCTTATTGGATAAGAGGCTGCTTCGACCACCCGAAGAATCTCAAGTTATCAGAGATACTGCTTTGGTATCATCGAAGAATCTTATTGGATAAGATGCTGCTTCGACCACCCGAAGAATCTCAAGTTGTGTTCAGAGATACTGCTTTGGTATCATCGAAGAATCTTATTGGATAAGATGCTGCTTCGACCACCCGAAGAATCTCGAGTTATCAGAGATACTGCTTTGGTATCATCGAAGAAGCTTATTGGATAAAAGGCTGCTTCGACCACCCGAAGAATCTCAAGTTATCAGAGATACTGCTTTGGTATCATCGAAGAACCTTATTGGATAAGATGCTGCTTCGACCACCCGAAGAATCTCAAGTTGTGTTCAGAGATACTGCTTTGGTATCATCGAAGAATCTTATTGGATAAGAGGCTGCTTCGACCAGCCGAAGAATCTCGAGTTATCAGAGATACTGCTTTGGTATCATCGAATACTCTTATTGGATAAGAGGCTGCTTTGACCACCCGAAGAATCTCGAGTTATCAGAGATACTGCTTTGGTATCACGAAGAATCTTATTGGATAAGAGGCTGCTTCGACCACCCGAAGAATCTCAAGTGTTCAGAGATACTGCTTTGGTATCATCGAAGGACCTTAATGAATGAGGGGCCGCTTCGACCACCCAAGGAGGATTGTTTATACCACTTTGGTATCATCGAAGGACCTTAACGAATGAGGGGCCGCTTCGACCACCCAAGGAGGATTGTTTGTAACACTTTGGTATCATCGAGGGACCTTAATGAATGAGGGGCCGCTTCAACCACCCAAGGAGGATTGTTTATACCACTTTGGTATCATCGAAGGACCTTAACGAATGAGGGGCCGCTTCGACCGCCCAAGGAGGATTTTTTATACCACTTTGGTATCATCGAAGGACCTTAACGAATGAGGGGCCGCTTCGACCACCCAAGGAGGATTGTTTATACCACTTTGGTATCATCGAAGGACCTTAACGAATGAGGGGCCGCTTCGACCACCCAAGGAGGATTGTTTGTACCACTTTGGTATCATCGAAGGACCTTAACGAATGAGGGGCCGCTTCGACCACCCAAGGAGGATTGTTTATACCACTTTGGTATCATCGAAGGACCTGAACGAACGAGGGGCCGCTTCGACCACCCAAGGAGGATTTTTTATACCACTTTGGTATCATCGGAGGACCTTAACGAATGAGGGGCCGCTTCGACCACCCAAGGAGGATTGTTTTTACCACTTTGGTATCATCGGAGGACCTTAACGAATGAGGGGCCGCTTCGACCACCCAAGGAGGATTGTTTATACCACTTTGGTATCATCGGAGAACCTTATTGGATAAGGGACTGCTTCGACCGCCCAGCGAATATCAGGTTATCTCGTTCATATTTTGCATCCTGCCACCCTGGTATGGTACATCTTATCTCTCTGCATTTTACTTGTTTGTCGGACAAATTTTGGGGTATTCTTGTATCTAATTGACTTTTCCCTCAAAATGAATACCATGCAGCACTTCATGCTTTCGGGTCAAAGACAATTAGATAGGGGCATCTGTCATACCCCAAATTTGTCCTACCTTTTTGAAAATTTTCATTAGCCCGACTTTATTTTTTTCAATTTGCATTGCGTGTACAACTTAACGTATTTTTCACTTTTTGTCCAATAAATTTGTAACACGTGGCATTATTTGTAGTTATCTTTATTTATTAATTAGATTAATTAAAATTTACATTAGGTTATAGGATTAAATTAATTAGAATCTAAGTTAGATCTGGAATAATTTAGTTTAGAATAAATTAATTAGAATTAGTATAGTTTAGTTTAAAATAGAAAGGTTTTAAAATAAGAGAAAAAGAAAACAGAATTAATTAAAAAGAAATTAAAAAAAAGGAAGAGAGAGGCGGGAGGAAAATTAAATTAGGGTTATGGTTTGGATGTATAAAGGGGATTCGTTACTGTTCATGAGGGGAGGACCGGGCCGTCAAACCCTAACGGCAAATCCTTTCTCTTCTCCCAGCTGCCGAAACACCCGAGTAACCACTCTCTCAATCTTCCTCTCCGACCATTTGCTGAAAATCTCTTCTCTTTCTCCCAGCCGACAAACCCTTTCCCATCATCTTCTTCTTTCCATTTTTCCTTTCCCCCTCCGAAAAGACCGTCGCCGGTCACTCTTTATCCTTCCTCCCTCGAGCTTCATCATCTTAACCCTCACATTCATCTTCTCCCTCAGCTAACCCTCTTCTCCCTTTGCCGGAAATCAACCCACACAAACCACCATAACCAACCACCGCTAACCTCCGTTTTCATCACTCCCAGAAACTCGCACCTTCATCTATTCAACCACTTAGGGTTATAGACATGGGTAAGAAAAACAAAACAAGGAATGAAAATGGCGACGGCACCTTAAAACAATCCCCCTTGACTCTCTTTGTTTCCAACTTACCCTACTCCTTTACAAACCCTCAGCTTGAGGAAACTTTCAATGAAGTTGGACCTGTTAGGCGTTGCTTCATGGTAACACAAAAAGGGTCTACTCAACATCGCGGTTTTGGTTATGTCCAATTTGCTGTTGAGGCAGACGCTAACAGTGCCATTGAGCTGAAGAACGGTTCATTGGTTGGTGGCCAAAAAATTGCAGTGAAGCACGCAATGCCCCGTCCTCCCCGTGAAAATAGAAGATTGAAACCAGATCAAGAGGGCAAGGACAATGATCTCACAGAGTCAAAAAATGATGATAAAGACAGTTTATTACCTGTAGCAGAGAAGCCTGTTCCAGTTCCAAAGGAAGAAGAAGGGACAGTTTTGAATAAACAAAAAACTCAAGGAAGCCTGTGGAAATAAAAAAAGCAGCTCTTTGTAATAATGTAGCAGATGAGGGGGGTAGCTCAGAAAAGCAGAGGGTTGCTAGAACAGTTATATTTGGTGTTCTCATGAATTCTGCCATGGCTGAAGATGTTCACCGTCAAGCCAAAGATATTGGCACTGTGTGCTCTATTAAGTCTCTCTCAAGGAATGATCTTCAGCAACATGGTCTGCTGCAAGATGGCTGTACTTTGGATGCTTCAGTTGTACTATACACTAGTGTAAAATCAGCTCATGCTTCTGTCGCAACATTGCATAGAAAAGAGATAGGAGGCAGAACTGTTTGGGCACGCCAACTTGGTGGCGAGGGATCCAAGACTAAAAAATGGAAGCTTATTGTTAGAAACCTTCCTTTCAAGGCCAAAGAAAATGAAATAAGTGATGTGTTTAAATCTGCGGGGCCTGTATGGGAGGTATTCATTCCACAGAAGTCCGACACAGGTCTTTCAAAGGGTTTCACCTTTGTAAAATTCACCTGCAAGCAAGATGCTGAAAATGCCATTCGAAAGCTCAATGGATCGAAGTTTGGGAGTCGTCTCATAGCTATTGATTGGGTTGTTCTGAAAAAGATATTTAGTAGTGATGCCAATGATGCTCCCGCTTCAGAGGAAGGACAACAAAAGGCGTCAGATGAAGATGGTAGTACTACTACATATGATGATGTTGAGGATACCAACAAACAATCTGATGAAGGAGATGATAGTGATATTGATGGTGTAGTGGAGGAAGATGTTCCTTCTGAAGATGATTTTGACAAGGAAGCAGACATTGCAAGAAAGGTTCTTAACAATTTGATTACATCTTCCTCTGCTAGAGATGCATCTGTAAATACGGATTCTATGTGTTCCGAAGAAAATAAGGAGCCAAAATCTGAGGAAACTGTTAAGGATGCCATTAGTGAAGCGCCTAAAGAGTCTGACAAAGTTTTAGCTACTTCTAAGTCTGAGACTTCCAGTAGGTTATCTAACCATAAGGAAACAGAAGATGATCTGCAAAAAAAACAATTTTTATAAATAATCTTCCCTTTGAATGTGATACCGAAGAAGTGAAGCAACGATTTTCTGCATTTGGAGTAGTAGAATATTTTGCTCCTGTTCTCCACCAATTGACCAAGCGTCCACGAGGAACTGGTTTTCTTAAGTTTAAAACCGTTGAAGCAGCTAATGCTGCAATTTCAACTGCCAGTGCTGCTTCTGGGATGGGTATTTTAGTGAAGGGTAGACCATTAAAAGTTTTGAAAGCTCTGGACAAGAAAACAGCTCATGACAAGGAACAGGAGAAAGAAAAAAAACGAGGTTCATGACCACCGCAATATTTACTTGGCAAAGGAGGGACTTATTCTTGAGGGGACTCTAGCTGCTGAAGGAGTTTCAGCCAGTGATATGGCAAAACGCAAAGAGTTAGAAAGGAAAAAGAAGACGAAGCTTCAATCTCCAAATTTTCATGTTTCAAAAACTAGACTTGTTATCTACAACTTACCTAAGTCAAAGACTGAAAAACAACTAAAGAAGCTTTGCATTGATGCAGTCATCTCTAGTGCTACCAAGCAAAAACCGGTGATTCGACAGATAAAGCTTTTGAAAGATGGAAGGAAAGGAAAGGCTACTCAAGAACAGTATTCCCGGGGAGTCGCCTTTCTTGAATTTTCAGAACACCAGCATGCCCTTGTTGCATTGAGAGTTCTTAACAATAATCCTGAAACTTTTGGTCCTGAACATCGGCCTATCGTGGAGTTTGCTCTTGATAATGTTCAGATATTTAAACTTCGGAAGGAAAAGCAAACAATATCAGCAGCAGGCTCCTTATGATAACAACAACAGAAACGAAAATGATAAAGACAACGCGGGAGGAGGTTACACACATGGAAATGACAGAAAACGAAAATCTCAAGAGCATGTGAAACCCACTAATGAGAGAAAGCACTGGTAGCTCATATTTGCAGCATTAGCTTGGCATTTCGAGTAACACACTAGGAAACCAATCTTGCTACAAAGTTAACATCAACCATTGAGGATTCAGCCGAAATGGATGAAGTGGTGTATTAACTCAAGAAGCGGATCCCATTACGGGTTTGAGGCGACGCTGCAAGATCGTGCTTTCAACTACACAATTAGATTGAAGCAGCATTGCATTCATGAGCAACTTCTTCAGCGACAACAACTCCACACAATCCTAACAACGACGCCTCTGTTTTTACTGGCCTCGCAAAACCATCGCGACTTTTCCGTTGGGTTTAAAGGGTTTATAGCAGCTGGTTTTCGAAGCATGAAATGGAACGGCATATGTTCGACCATAATGTGTAGAGCCATGATCATCTCTGCTCCAACAACAATGATTCGTCAACGGTAACAATTCGAATCAGTTTCTTCTTGTATTATGTCTGTTGGTTGCACATGACTTCTATTTTGTTGATTGTTGCCATATAATTGACTTTGAAGTTTTGTATTTTATTGGTTTTTTATATTTTCTTGGTCAATGTGTGAGCCAGCTAGAAGATAAACATTATGCTAATCTCTTGATGCAATGTGTGGTAACTTATACTGATACGGTTTAGTGTCCTGTAATGACATGAAGATACTGTTGTGGCTTCTTCTCTAGTGCATTCGGTTCACTGTTGTTGCTTAAGTGTTTATATATTTGCGTCTAGCAGGTATTTTAGATTACTTTTGTTTTGGTTATGCTGAATTAATGTGATGCTGTCAAATTTTATGTGCTTCGATTGTGCGACAAATTCTTATGTCGCAGCTGTAGTTAAACGTTGTTGTTGGCTGAGTTACGTTGTTGCGATTTCTATTATATAAATAACGTGAGATATTGTGTATGGTTGTTGCTGTTCTAGTTTGTTGGTCATACTGATGTGTTTTTAGAGCTGCTACTATTTTATCCTTGTTTCAAAATTGTGACAGTTTGTTAATTGTTAACCCAGGCCTGTTTTAATAATGCAATAGGTGATTAAGTGATAATGATTGTTGCTACTTCTTATGATTGCCTCGTGCGTTTGTTGTGCAGTTGGTGTATTTGAAAATTGCTATACGAATTTGTTTGTTGCGATGCGACTTTGTTGCAATTTATAGACCGTGATGTGCGATCTGTTTGAGTACGATTTGCTGTTGTGGCGGTGATTTAATGTCCGTATTGTGAAAACAACACGAGAATCTTGTTGCTAGAAATTTAAGATTTAAATTGATTCTGTTATGCATCAGTGATTTAGTTTTGGTTTAAATTGATTCTGTTATATATCAGTGATTTAGCTTTGGTTAGAATTCATGCTGTTATGCATTTAGTCTTGGTTAGAGAATTCACTACTGTTACATACATTAGTAAGCTAAGTACTTATATGAATTATTAAATTGGTTTTTGATTTATAAATTAGTAAATTTACTATTGTTGTGAATTAATAAGAAAATTAATTTTGATTAGTGAATGAGTTAGTGATGAATATGCTAGTTATGAAGAATTCCCTTTATCATGTTAATATTGTGTTAATTAAGGTAATGAATTTTTGAAATTTCTCCTTCTAACTATGTTTTTTTTAATGTATTTTAATCATTAGTGATCTAAATTAATAGTTAATTGTTTAATTATTTTTCTAATCGATTTAGTTGGTTGTAATTGATTAATTATTAATTATTTGATTTTCCTAGCCAACTTCCATGTGTAGCTAATTTAGTGAACAAAATTTTTGTTCATATCCTCATTTTATAATTAAACATCTCACATTGATGCAATTTTGTCACACTTTCATTTGTATAGTCTTAGACAAATTACAATCAATTTCGTTTTCAAACTAATTTTCAACTAACTTCTGCTTAATATTAAAATGATTTCAAAATCATTTTCCAGTCATTTTGTGGATACTCAAATAATTTTTCTCAAATCATCTTCAAAGTTACCTGATTGAAAGAGAGTTTAGAGTCTTCTATTCTTTCTCCCAGTTCATTTGCCCAATTGTTTAAGTGTGAGGAGTCTTCTTCATACTTGAACAGTTGTTTTCCTGAAAACGCCTAAGTTGTTTCACGCATTTTTCAAACCTTGATTCATATCAAGCAATTTTCTTCAAATCAAACTAAAATACTTAATAACTATTTAAACACAATTTCAATAAAAGATGAAAAAGAGAGAGTTCCAAGTCTTTGGTTCACTCTCCCAATTGTTTGGGTCCGAGAAGTCTTTCTTAAGCTCGAACAATTGTCTTCTAAAAATGATAAACAAATTCAAATCTATTTTCCTAAACACTTAGATGAAAAAGAGAAAGCTCCAAGTCTTTGGTTCACTCTCCCGATTATTTAAAATTCAAGAAGTATTTCTTGAGCTTTGAACAATCGTCATCCGATTAATACACTCTAATCATATTAAATATCTTTTATATATTAGATGAGAAAAGGAGAGAGCTCCAAGTCTTTGGTTCACTCTTCCGATTATTTGAGGTCCGAGAAGTCTTTCTTAAGCTTCGATTAATCCTCATCTGTTAAAATACTTTAATTACATGCTGTCTTTCGAGTGCCATTCAAACAATTCCTTTTGCGATGAAAAAGAAAGTGTTCCAGGTCTCTAGTTCGCTTTCCCGATTACTTAGGGACCGAGGAGTCTTTCTCGAGCTTCGATTAATCGTCATATGATTAACCCATTCAAACCACATTCTATCCTCTCGCAATTGAGGTTGAAAAAAGAGAGAGCTCCAAGTCTTTGGTTCACTTTCTCGATTACTTGGGTCCGAGAAGTCTTTCTTAAGCTTCAGGTAATCGTCACCTCTAGCTAAACATCCAATACATCTAACCAATCTTTTTCCTCGCCCTGTGCAACCAATACCTTATAACCTATTGAAATATATCTTCTTGTCTAAACCAAAATACTTAACCAATCAAACTCTACTCGCCCTCGTGTGATCCATAACTTAAACAACTCTTACCGAGAACATTGTTTAGTCCCTTCTTCCGCGCATAACAAACTTGTGCTTTAGCCTCCCCTAGCGAGCAAAC